GCACCTGATATGGCTTCTCATCAGCAATCAGTAATAATCCAATCTGAGTGATCCAAGCTTACTATAAATGGATCGTTTTCTACCTACTGCTATGTCTTTGTTTTGGTAGAATCCCCCCTTCCACCCCATCTCCTCCTTTTCCTTCCTTTTCTAAGGGGGAGCTTTCGAGACCTAGCTGATCTCGGATCTCCATATATGCTTATTGACTGGGCAGAAGCCTTGGGCTCATGTATCTCCGAGCTCAGGGTTCTCTCCAAGGTCAGCTTGCCAAACCTGCTATAAACGCTAAGCATGTCTAAGAACTCTTGAAAGCAGCATAGCTTTTATCATGCCACAACTCACCGTTTCCATTTCTTTCTGACAAGATTATGTGGGGAAGATTTTTATTATATTAAATACATTTTAGAGTTCTGTTATAATGCAATCTAATAAATTGCACAACACATTGAAGCTTCTTTGGTGTTTCCTTTTTCTTTAAACTAAACCAGAAATTGAGGGTGTGTGATGTTATAAGCATGGTCACAAAAACACAGTCCATGCTACTCATTAAAATTACTTCTTTCTCTGGATTTGAACATTGATTGAAACATTTGGGTTAATGTAAAGTCAACAAAACAGATAACAAAGTTACACAGTGTCTTTACATCAATAAAGGCCCAAAGCTTCGCAAAAATATGTCATTGCTGATATTATTTATGAGTGTGATATCTGTGTAAAATGACTAATAAAGTACAAAACTTGCTTTCTTTTTTTGTTTGTACGCTGTTTGTTTAGACTTTATTAATACCAAAGAGAAATCACATCACAGCAGATCTCTCGATACAATCAGATAAATAAAATAAATTACATACAGTTGAAATCCGAATTCGAATTATTATCCCCCCTTTGATTTTATTTTTTAAATATTTCCCAAATGTTGCTTAACAGAGCAAGGAAATTGTCACAGTATGTCTGATAATATTGTTTTTTTTTCTGGAGAAAGTCTTATTTTGGCTAAAATAAAGGCAGTTTTAAACATTTTTAAAGCCATTTTAAGTACAAAATTATCAGCCCATTTAAGCTATATATTTTTTTTCGATAGTCTACAGAACAAACCATTGTTAGTTAACATAGTTAACCTATTTAAACCTTTAAATGTCACTTTAAGCTTTATAGAGGTGTCTTGAAAAATATCTAGTAAAATATTAGTTACTGTCATCATGGCAAAGATAAAATAAATCAGTTATAAGAAATGAGTTATTAAAACTATTATGTTTAGAAATGTGTTGAAAAAAATCGGCGGTTAAACAGAAATTAGAGGGAAAAAGAAACAGGGGGGCTAATAATTCAAGGGAGCAAATAATTCTGACTTCAACTGTATGAAACAACAATATTAATAAAATGACATTCATACTGCACGCCTTAGTTTCAAACAACGAGTAGACACTAGTCCATATATACAGTATTATGCTATTGCAATTCCACATCATTCATCTAGTATGATTTTGGTTATACAATCTGATCACTGTCGGTAAAAATGACTTCCTGTGTTGTTCCCTGTAACACAGAATTCATCTTGAGCTAAACGAGCTTGCACATGTGCAATCTCTTCTATAGTGGGTAGTACACACCCCACAACAGAACCTGCCCTTTTTAAAAGCCTATTCAATTAGTTTTTCTCCTCTTTTCAACAGTTCACCTCCCCAGCAGGTTACAGAATCAAAGAAGACAACACAGAAAGTCTTTAACAGTGTCTGACACATAACAAAGGACCCTAGTTGTCTTTATAAATGAATGCGACTCTGTCCTTTTTTGTACACATGAATTGTATTTTCAGACCATACGATCAACCTATTCAGATATACACCCAAGTACTTTTATAATGAAACAATCTTAATTACTGACTCATGTATGATGGCACTGGCAACGCTTGATGTGGATGTCTGCTAAAATCAACTATAACTTCTTTGGTCTTATTAGTATTTCATTTAAGACAGTTTGTTTCACACTAGTCAGCAAAACTTGACCTCTTCATCTTATCCCCCAAATATCTGTTTAAAAAGTAATGCCAGCTCTAAAATGTAATAATTAATCCTAAACCATTAATCCAAATTTAGTCCAACATTTAATGATTAAAAAGTATGTTTCATCATTCAAATTACAAAAGAAATTCTTTCTCAGTTCTTTTTTTGACCTGTTCCAGTTCCTTCTCGATATCATCAACCTCCAGGACATAAATAATGCTGGGTAAACAACACTGCAACCATCAGTAAATATTAGCAAAGGATTTTGTGATATTGGTTGGTTTCGTTTACTTGGAAAAGCTGTTTTATAAAAGTTATAAGAAATGTGCGACACATAAATCTATTTTCTTAGACTACAGCACAAACGTTCATTAATTAAAAGTTTGAATAGACAACCACATGACAGACCATCATCTCTCATGAAAGAAACAGTTCACCCAAATATGAAAATTTACTCACAATTCACTCTCAGTCAATGGTTACAGAATTCCAGCTTCTTCAAAATACCTTCTTTTATGTTTAACAGAAGCAAGAAACCCATAAAGGTTTAAAATAACCTAAAGGCAGAGTAAATATTTCCATTTTTGGGTGAACTATCCCTTTAAGTGAAACAAGCATCATGTGGCTCTGTTTCTTTGTGCTTCTTACATTTTTATTGCAATTTGCATATCAAAGAAAATACACTACCTGACAAAAGTCTTGTTGCCTATCCAAGTTTTAGAAACGACAAACAATAATTTGACCTCTAGTTGATCATTTGGTATCAGAAGTGGCTTATATGAAAGGCAACGGCCTCTAGATTATGATTATTTTACCAAAATAAAATATGATCATGTCTTGATTTTTAATTATTTAATTAGGACAGTAAGGTCTGACATTGCTTAGACAAAAGTCTTGTCACTTAACAGAAATAATGTACAGTATAGAATATATAGTCATGATGCAGTGAAAAAAGAATGAATATTGTGTATGACTACCATGAGCTTGGAGGACTGCATCCATACATCTCTACAATGACTCAAATAACGTGTTAATAAAGTCATCTGGAATGGCAAAGAAAGCATTCTTGCAGGACTCCTAGAGTTCATCAAAATTCTTTGGATTCATCTTCAATGTCTCCTCCATCTTACACCAAACATGCTCAATAATGTTCATTTCTGGTGACTGGGCTGGCCAATCCTGGAGCACGTTGATCTTTTTTGCTTTCAGGAACTTTGATGTGGAGGCTGAAGTATGAGAAGGAGCGCTATCCTGCTGAAGAATTTGCCCTCTCCTGTGGTTTGTAATGTAATGGGCAGCACAAATGTCTTGATACCTCAGGCTGTTGATGTTGCCATCCACTCTGCAGATCTCTTGCACGCCTTAATACTGAATGTAACCCTGAACTATGATTTTCCTTCCAACTGATTTGTGTGAGAATCTTGGGTCCATGCAAGTTCCAATAGGTTTTCTGCAGTATTTGTGATGATTGGGATGCAGTTTGACAGACGATTTATCAGAAAAATCAAGTTATTATTTGTTGCTCTTACAAATGGAATTGATGACAAAAATTTGTCAGGTATTGTACAAGGGCAATAGCACAAAAATAATAATTCAATGAAAGGAAAACATAGAAAAAGTAGTAAGTAATAAAAATATAATTAACAACAAGACATCCATTCTCAAATTTTGGTGTAAATAGTAACAAATCATTTAAGATAATACGTTTGAAACTTTTTTCACTTTTTTATTTCTTGTTTTTTTATGTACAAAGGTAGTAATTAATAAGTAAAACTAGGTTATTTATTTCCCATTTACACTTATGAATAATGAATTATAAATAAAGACAATATACAAAATATTGAGATTGAGTCTTCATAATAAAATATACTTAACTTTGAGTTGCAGTTCTATCTTGGTACTTTGTTTCAAGCTAAAAGTAAAATCTTACCAGAATAATCGTCTGTGCTAGATTACATTTAAGAACATTTAACATTTACAAAGATACAATATGAACAAAGAGAGAAAACAAGAGTCTAAAAGTTTAAATGTTTTACAACAAGAAATGCAATATAATTATTCAAGTTTAAGTATTTCACGTATACATCAGAATCCTTCCTAATAATAAAAAAAAAGGATGTTTCTTTGAAAATTTACATTTATAGATATAAAATTTAGCTAGAAAAAGCAATGAACTAATAGTACCTTTACAAAGAGAATGATCTAAGTACAAAGTAACCAAAGAATATAATTTTTGGGGTATATACACAAGTTTGGAGTAAGAATTTAATGAAATTGGAAAAGTCAAACCAAAACACTTTACAGTAAGTACACTCCCGAAATAAATGATTTAGTGTTTTGTTATATTGAGTATAAAATGAGCATTTAAGTGAATAGTGTTATTAAATTTATACAGTTTGGTATTTATTAGGACTCCTTCACCCAGTGGTGTGCAAAAACATAACATGGAATTGACAAATCCAAGTTTCGTTTCTGTTTCTTTCCAGCATTTGATTTTAACTCTCGTTTTCTCGGAAAACGTGTGCTTACCCGATGGCTAGTGGCTGTGCTATGAGTTTCGTAACCTCCCCCTGACAACAAGCATCTCAGCATGAACTTTCTGTTCCGTACGCGTTTTATTGATCATATAGCTATTCTTATGTATCTTAAGAAATAAATAATGAAATGTTATCATCTTATTATGAAGTATTAGTATCCGTCCATCAAAAGGCATAACAACATCTTTGTGTTTCGCTGAGTTTCTGTTCTCTTATCAGTTCCTATTCTGTATTGAGTGTGAGAGTAAAGGGAGGGCTGCGCTTCCCTGGAACAGCCATTGGCTAGGGGGCGTGCTTTTACTGTACGCATCAGAACGTGATTGGTTGTCATCGCTGGTGTATTTAAATATGGCAGTTAAAGCGTTACCATTGGCCTGAGAAGTTAATGTGACATCCACCTCTGTGAGTATTCTATAATTACGAAGTCACTGAGGAGAATAAAAGGCTGAAGCAGACAGTTTAGTCTACGCGTATTTTATCTGCTTATCCCGAGATACACTCCTTTAGTGACTTGACTAAACGTCCACGTTGAAAGGTAATACATGTTATGCGTTTTATATGAGTTTGTTCATGCAAAATGCTATGGGAAAGCTGGAGATAATGAAATGCCACGTAAAGCAGCTTTTTGTTTATAATGTAATGAAATATTAGTGAATGTCATATCATGTAATTTGTAATTTCATTTCATACATTTTAGAAAATGAAAACGTTTTAAATAAGTAAATTAATTGCATAGATTAGAAGCTTTAGGGATCTCTTAAAATAATTTTCTGCTGTAGATGGCTATTTCATTTTCTCATATCTTTTGATCATATCTGCATGACTTTTATGCAAAAGATTTTATATGCATGGGCTTGATGGCTATTAAACTTTTTTACAATTTACAATGAGTTAAAAATAAATCAAACATTTTAAATTGTAAAGTTATAACTACTTTTAATTAAATTATTAATTAAAATAAATAATATTTTATAAAAGTCCCATTTATTGTGAAAAATGTATATATGTATTTATATTCACAACTGGTCAAAAGTTTGGGGTCAGCAGGATTTTAAAATGTTTTAAAATAAGCTTCTCCTGCTCACCAAGGCTGTATTTATTTCATCAAAAATACAGTACAAATAGTAAAATTGTGAAATGTTATTGCACTATAAAATAACTGTTCAAAAGTAGTTTGTCATTTAATTTAATTGTTTATTCCAGTGATTTTAATGATGAATTTCCAGCTTCATTACTCCAGTCTTTAGAGTTCCATGATCCTTTAAAAATCTCTCTAATATTATTTTATTATTATTATTACTGTTATTATTATTATTATTATTATTAATGGAAATAATATTAAAAGCAATAATAACTAAAGTAATAATTTCATAAAACAAGGTGCTTGGTGAGAAATGTCAACGCAGAGAGGGTTGCATAACGGGTTGCAATTTTATGTTTGCAGATGACGCTCTGGAACCAGCTGCAGCTGCTGGACTCAATGTATTTGGAGCAAGTGGACCAGCTTTACGATGAGGCTTTCCCAATGGAGATCCGACAATATCTATGTCACTGGATTGAGAGTCATGACTGGTGAGATTTTAAAATAATGATTAAAAATTTTTTGCATAATAAATTGCTACCAATCATCATCATTTTGAGACAAAGAGCATGTTTACATGGACACCAATAATCCGGACAATTAGGACAATTCTTTGATTAAGAGTAAACAGCGATTTTTGATTAATTTAATCCGATTAAAGTCATAATCGAACTAAACAGAAATGGAATTAAGACATGTGGAGTATGCTGATTTTAGTCGCATTGTTGAAGTGCAGTACAGACATTTAAACACCGCTGTGACAAATCGGTCTTGTTGTGGGAAGAAGTAGACAGGGTCGGCGATATAGTGTAAATGAATGTTTTTTTTTCCACAGTAAAGCAGGTCAACACTTTGGGCCCTATCATACACCCGGTGCAATGAGGCGCAAGGCGCGACTCAAAGGTTGTTTGCTAATTTCTGCATGGTGCAAGAGTCATTTTGACGTTTTGCACCACGTTATTTAAATAACAAATGCATTAGCGCTCATAGGCATTCTGGTCTAAAAAACCAAGTGTATTAAGGCACGTTGCTATTTTAAGGAATTTGTCACAATCAAACAAGATTTAGAGAAGGATCCAAATGCAAGTAACGTGTTTATTTGATGCAGTCAAAACAAACCAACAGGGCTGTATGCGTGTGCAAGGACAACTGGGAAAACAGGGTAGGAAACAGACAGACGAACGGGGTCCTCCTCACAGTCCTAAGCACAGACAGACCCACGAGCAAACACAACGAACTGACAAAGAAACATAGAAGCGTCGCCCAGATATAGGCACGATAGTAAGCCTCAGCTGGTGAGCTAATCAAAACAGAGAGTATAGTCATAGCACGTGACTATAACCAATACACGTGCACAACCAAAACAAAACCCACGTGACCAAACAGACACTCCGAAAGGTGCACAAACCTGCAACCGTGACAGAATTAAATTGTCTGTTCAATAGACCAGATCAAAGCAGGTCTAAAGTCCAGCGCAGAGCAGGTTAGTTGTGCACCTCGCTGACACATTGCTTAATACATACAAGGTGTACAGCAATACACAAATATCTTTACAAATTAAAAAGGATTCAAGGATTAAAATATAACAAAAATATTCTTTTCTAGCCTACATAAATATAAAAACCATAATTTCATGCCTTCTTTATCTCTGGGGGCTTTTTTAGTTTATTCATTACAATTTGCTTTTGTGTAATGTTATTATTATTAGCAGTATTATTTATTATTTACATATTTACATGGGTGTTGCTAGGCCTATTCTACTCAGCCCCCCTAAAACTTTTTGCGATTAGCTCATGAACTGTACACTCAATTATTGCCTCAGTCACCTTTAAATTTAATATGAAACAGCGGCAGAATTCCGCTCCTCCCCTTCTTTTCTTTTTTCATTTGATCAGCAAACCACAGCCGTGGACGTCGAGAGAACAAGGTGTTATAATGTCTGCTTATTAGCAGTTCTTTGATATAGATAACCTTGTATCATCTGTATCCCAGTGTCATGGAGGAGCAGTGGGGTTTTCTCTGCGTTCACCTCATTAGCACAGCTGTTTCCTCCAGCGAAAAAAGTAACTCTTAACGAACATTTCACAATTTTTATTTCAAAATGAACTACCAATAAAAACACTTTACAGTTCGTCTGGCACTAACTATACCATACAGTCTTGCACAAAAAGCATTAAACACAGTGACAGAAGCACTTTGAGAATGTACTCAAAGTTTTAACTGTGACTGAGTCACTGACAGAAATAGAAACATCAAGTGTTGTCTAGTACTAAATGAATACTTCTTATTTATTATCATTCAGATCCTGAAATATGTGAATTAGAAATATGTGAATTAGAATATTATGTTTGTCATTTAATTAGAAAAGTGGCAGTTTATTTATTGAATACCTGAAATGCACAACAAATGCACTCGAATATAGAAAGTGTTTTTTACTATGGTAAACAGGTGGGTTGAGCCTACTTGGCTTACTCAGAACTCAATCTGGCTATGCCTGTCTATGTAATACAATGGAATAATAGTATACAAGCCTTATTAAACAAACATTTTTAAGTGTATTACTATTAAATTACTACTTATAAATGTAATATTAAGCTTTATGTATATATCAATTTTTTTACCTTATAAGGAGCTCAGCCCCCCTAAAATGAAAATCCTTAAATCGCCCCTGCATATTTATATTTGTTTTATTAAAAACAAGCTTATATTTGTCCACTTGTCAGGTTTTAGACCATATGGGGCACAGCATGTGCATTTGGATATAACTCAGTTTTTTGAGCACTCTTCGTTATTATTGTTCATTTATTCGTTTGCTGGTATTTAGAACTGAATTTAGAAATAGTTTTGAAAAAAATCTTTGCGCTTAACAAACTAAATTATTTATGTGGACTAATGAATGTCTGTTTGTACAACATGTTTCCCTATCCACGGGAGCGAAAGTAAAGAATGAGGAGGCGCATCTCTCATTCTCGTGCTGTAGATGCTCTGTTGAACTGTTTTATTACTAGAGAAACGCTCAGTTTTTCCATCTGTGCAGTGGCTCTTTTCTCTCTGTTGCTTCGCTCTCTTCCCCTTAAGAAGGTGTCTCTCTGGCCCAATCACTAGAAAATACAGGTGTTTTTGTTTATTATATTTAATATTATATTTAATAAATCATAAATTTATTATTTATGATTGGACCACTGACCAGTCATTGGTGTCTCAACCTGGTCTCCCCCCTTCTTGGATGTTCGATCATGCTCTCCCCACCACAACCGTAATAAAAATATTACCGTTGTGTAGGATTTTGCCACATTTTGTGACAGGATAGTCTATACAAAAACGAATGTTTGACACTATTCCCTGTACCTACCGAGTCAGTGAAGGACCACAGACACCTGCCTCGTGAAATATTGTGCCATATCAAAATGTAAAGACTTCCAGCAGTTCATACTCGCATCCAATATCTCATTTGTCACGGGGGCATACATGAAATGTTCCAGAATAAAAGAGAAAGTGCCAAACTGCAGTTCAAGAGTTCCCACTTAGATATGCTTGGCATTTACAGCAGGTTTGGCAAGCTGTCCCGGAAGAGAACCCTGAGCTCGGAGATATTTGAGCCCAGGGCTCCCGCCCGGTCTAGAAGCGTATCAGGAGATCCGAGATCAGGTAGGTCTCGATCGCTCCCCCTTTAGAGGAGGAGAAAAAGGAGGAGATGGGGTGGAAGGGGGGATTCTTCCAAAAAGAAGATAAGCAGAAAGTGATCCATTTATATTAAGCTAGGATCATTCTGATTGGATCATTACTGATTACGTATGAGTGGCCAGCGGTGCACAATCATATCACGTGCTCCTCTCGAAATTAGTTTATGAAACTTCACTTAAAGTGGACAAATTAAAAACGAAACACCGGAAATTACATGAAACTCTAGACTAGAGGAAATGTGGCTAGCGTGGTGGCGCAATGACGTTAATCGAATTATATAACATGTAAAACGGGATCATGAAAGGAACATTCGAAAAGCAACTCATGTAAACATCCTCATCCTATTACTGTCTTATTCAGATGAAGGCAAATAATTCAATCACTGATGTCCATGTAAACGTAGTCAGTGTTGTTTGCAGGGAATCCATTGCAAGTAATGAATCTCTAGCCATCGTTCGCTTCCATGAGCTCCTGAACCAACTGGATGAGCACTACAGCCGTCTCAATCTGGGAAACAACTTCCTCTTACAGCATAATATACGCAAAATTAAGCGCAATCTACAGGTAAAAATTCTTATATTGATTTCTAAATAAGATTGCATTCACTGTCCTAAAAAGATATCTGACAGATAATGGACATATCTCCAATAGGAGCACTTCCAAGAGAATCCTGTTTACATGGCTATGATCATATCCAGCACTCTGAACGAGGAGAGAAAGATACTGCAAGTTGCCCTTAGTTCTCAAGTAAGGCTTTTAGTCTTGCATCAAAGGCAGCGTTTCGAAGCTGTGCTTGTGTAATCATTCATCTTGGTCATTTATTTTTAGGGTAAAGGTGACTCCATGCAGGGGAACATCATGATGGAACATCAAAATGAGCTGGTCAATAAAGTGAACAATTTGAAGATGAGTGTGCAGGTGAATCATCTGCCAATAATAAAAAGGCTTTGGAGCATTTTCATAGATATAACTTTAATTTATTTTAAACCGGCTATATTTATTTGCTTCTAGGAAATGGAAAAGCACGTTCAAGCTCTGGAGGATATGCAAGATGATTACGACTTTAATATGAAGAGCCTACAGAGTCGAAGTAACATCCGCTACATTTTAAGCATTTCATTGTGGCATTACATAATTTTTTTTCTTAAATCTGTGTGAGACCAAATTTACATTTGACAGCTTTTGAAAGAGCACAAATGATGTGTGGTGCATCTATTTTATATTTTCAGTTGAAGCTGAAGGTGTGCAAATGAATGACCCGATGCCAAAAGAGATCCAGCAAGAGGAGATGGCAATTAAGCGAATGTTTACTGTGCAAGGCATAAAAAGAGAGGTAGAGGTCAAGATTATATTACAATATTATCAATTATACTATGACATGGGAAGATTGAGGATTCCATCAGTATCATTTTCTTGATTTTAAGTGCATGAATTTATAAACATATGACTGTATTAATTTTACACAGTGCTCTCCTTAAATGAGTACACTCCATTTTGAAAACGAATATTTGTATCCATTTCTCAGTGAATATAGGTCATACAATGTTTCCTCTAGGATTTTTTCCAGCTGTGGCAGCAGGCCTTTTTTACACAGATCTACCAACCACCTTTGGTGTTATTTCAATGTCAAATGTTGTGAGTGCAGTTTTAGAAGTCGAGATCGCATTTATGTAATAGCCTACAGCATGTGGATCTCTTTGCTGGTGCCCCGATTTCTTCTGCTCGTGCACAAAACTTCTTTTCGTGCACAGATCTTCTTGTGCGCTCTCAAATAAACGCTGCTGAAGTGCGATTTAGTGCGTTTATGTAACGAGTATGTCTCCAGCATTTATAAGATTTCCTAGGAATATTTATGAATGTCTCTAATAGACCTACAGAGCGATATTAATGCGTCCTGAAGTAAAGTGAAACGGCTATACGTCGTGTTTGCTGGCCTCACGCATCACGCACCTGTCAGTCAGCCAGTCAGTCTGTCAGCACGTAACCTTAACGGGGTAAACAAATAATGCACAGCACTACTACGGTTACAGAGAAGTTCGCACTGTTATAATTCACTCAGCTTTTAATACGTTTTGGTGCGATTATTACGCGCCATTAAAAAAATAACATGTTTTGAATGAGAAGCGATAATGTAGCCGTGGCGGGATGAATTTTGGGGTGGCGCCTCGCCATGGAAGAATGAATGTAGCGGAAACCATGTCATATATTTTGGTTTAAAAAAAAAAAAATGATTTATTAAACAGATACATTTATAAAAATAATATTTTCCTTGCCAAACATTTTTAGAAATAGAAAGACAATACATTAAAAATCATGTAAAATATTGGATAAATAAATTACAAACTACAAAATTTCAACAACAACAAAAAAAATAATATTGTTTTTTCGCCTAACAAATAAATTTGTGTGTACTCATTTTGGACCTTTATCATAAGTTATTTTGTCAGATTAGCTCCAGATTTGACTACGGTACGGAATAATCTAATGTATATGCACATATATAATATTGTAAAACTTCCTATAGAAAATATTAATTTAAATGAAAGATTTGTGAAGGGTATACTTATATATGCTGAGCACTGTACTATATGTGAATGTGTGTGTGCAGGTGGTGATGAAAGAAATCTCTAATGTACTGACGTTAGCAGAGCAGATCCAGTTCACTCTGATAACAGAAGAGTTACCCGAGTGGAAGAAGAGACAGCAGATGGCTTGTATCGGAGGACCACCTAATGCGTGTCTGGATCAACTGCAGAACTGGTGAGAACATAGAGGAAGCTGTTGCCTATAACGATCATTCATTAACGGCACAATATGCACACTTTTTCCAAAAACTACTAGAACCGTGTTATATGATTGCTGATTTATGTACAGTTGAGTCAGAATTATCAGAGCCCCTCTGTGATTTTTTTTCTTTATTAAATATTTACCAAATGATGTTTAATAGAACAAGGACATTTTCACAGTATGTCTGATAATATTTTTTTCTTCTAGAGAAAGTCTTATTTGTTTTATTTCGGCTAGAATTAAAGCAGTTTTGATTTTTTTTAAACACCATTTTAAGCATTAAAGTATTAGCCCCTTTAAGCTAATATTTATTTTTCGATAGTCCACAAAACAAACCATTGTTATACAATAACTTGCCTAATTACCCTAACCTGCCTAGTTAACCTAATTAACCTAGTTAAGCCTTTAAATGTCACTTTAAGCTGTATAGAAGTGTCTTGAACAATATCTAGTCAAATATTATTTACTTTCATCATGGCAAAGATAAAATAAATCAGTTATTAGAGATGAGTTATTAAAACTATTATGTTTAGAAATGTGTTGAAAAAATCTTCTTTCGGTTAAACAGAAATTGGGGAAAAAATAAACAGGGGGGCTAATAATTCTGACTTCAACTGTATATACATTATACCAAATGTTTAGAACAATGTTAAAATCCAGAGAAATAAGCAATTTTAACTAGTGCCACTATTGACCGTGTCCCGTGTCACCATGATAATAGCATCACACACACTTGGTTTTCGGTTTGGTCACTAGATCTAGAAAAATCTAAGCACTAAAGATGATACTTGTTGTGCACAGAGGAGCTTTTTGACTAAACCCTAAATAAACAGTGTTGCTTCTTCACACAATCACAACTGGAAGAACCGTAATGGAGCTTTTACACTAGACACGGCTTGAGTTTGCTCTCTTTATTCGCACATCAAATTCACTTCACAATAGATGCAGATTTGTATCATGGGAGGCTCATCTGTCTGCCAGGGTGGGTCTAATTTTGTTGCTAAATGGTGTAGGGCCTCTCACACAAAATACATGGATATGTAGTGGGTTAACTTTAAATTAGCTCAAAGGGAATATAACAGAATTTAAAGTGGCTTCAAAAGAATCAACTCTTTTGAACTGAACAAACGAATCGTCCAGTCCAACAGAGTTGCACCAGCAGCAGCTGTTGAGAAGTGGAGATGCTCCACTTCCAGGACAACTCTTCTCTAGGTCCAGTCCAGGCGGACTTGGACATTACGTTAGAATGAGACGAACCTCAAAATCCCCCTCTTCCATTCACTCTTCTTTCTTTTCTTTCCGTCGAGAGTCTAGTTAAGTTAAGTTGCGCCGGGAAATCAGTCAGCATGACAACAGTTTTGCCTTCTCCAACTTGAACTACTGGACTTCGCTTTATCAGCAGCCTCGGAGACGTCATTACAACAACCAACCAACCACCAGCGAACTCACGTGGGAATCCAGCTCCACAGAGGGACTTCCCCACATCACTACGGAACGCAAGTACATCTCCAGATCCATTGCTGAACTGGTGTATGATCTGCTAGTCATGTTAAATGATATATTACCCTGTCTAAGACACAGTAAAGGTTGAATTGGTTGTTTGGTTCACTTGGTAAGGTTTTACATCTTGAGGTTTTACACAACATCTCACCTAAACTCTTCTTTTCCTTCTATTCCTTGTCTGCAACCACTATGGATGTGTGTGTGTGTGTGTTTGTTAGTTTTGTTTGCAGTCAATAAAGTCTCTTTTGTATTGAAAGGAAAGTGGCCTGTGTGTCCTTGTGAATCTATTGTCTTATACCTAGATCTTGTTACCCTGCTTAAATACTAAAGTGTTTTTACTTCATTTCAAATAGAAATATTCGTTTGTGAGTCAACAGTCCTGTCTGTTCAAACAGCGCTGGACGGTTCGTTTGTTCAGTTGATTCTCAAGAGAGTTGATACTTTTGAAGCCGCTTTAAATTCTGTTATATTCCCTTTGAGCTAAAGTTAATGCACTACATAATTGTGTATTACGTGTGTGAGGCCCTACAATGGCTAACATGGATTTTATTGAGAGAGTAGCTGTGCTTTAGGAAGGCTAAAAAACAGTGTAGATTCATTCAGCACCATGTCTGAGACCATCAGATCCTTCAGAGGCGCAGTGAGCTCTGAGTTCATCAAACTTCTCCAAGATGGATGACACTTTCAGCAGTACTTCCAACTGAGCCGGTACCAGTTTAATGAGCTGGTGTCCTGTGTTGCCAGTAGGATTTCCCCTCAGGACACCAACAACAGGCGCTACATCATAATCACGCCCCTACTAAAGCAAGCTCCTGACTGGTTAATGCACACAAATATCGGCCAGATTTTTTAACCAATTTGCGCGAATCACGTGAATCGCATCATTCGCATCCCGTCACTGGCACGTATGGCTCCGCAAGATGTCTAATCAGATCTTTGCATTGACTTAACTTGTAAATCACTCACGCTTAATGCTTCTTCTTAATCTGGTGTGAACATACCACAAGAGGTGGGCCGTGGCATAATACAAGCTCTACTGTTTCCATGACACGTCACGCTCATCTCTCATCAGCATTTTCTTCAGTGCTCTCGCATGGGATGAAAATTGAAATAATTTCTTCTCATCCAGTGTCATAGTACATGACAGCCAATATCATGTCTGCAAGGCTTCATGGCGTAATTGCAGAAAGTCTAGTATATTTAATTCTCCATCAAGCTCCAAAAGAGTCTTTTGCTAGCACAGAATGATTCTATAATTTGTAAAAAGGAAACACACACAGGCATATATATATATATATATATATATATATATATATATATATATATATATATATATATATATATATATATATAAAATATATATTTATATTTATATTATATATATACACAGTTGAAGTCAGAATTATTAGCCCCCCAGAATTATTAGACGGCTTGTTTATTTTTTTCTCCAATTTCTGTTTGACGGAGAGAAGATTTTTTGAACACATTTCTAAACATAACAGTTTTATTAACTCATTTCTAATAACTAATTTATTTTATCTTTGTCATGATGACAGTAAATAATATTTTACTAGATATTTTTCAAGACACTTCAATACAACTTAAAGTGACATTTAAAAGTTTAACTAGGTTAGTTAGGTTAACTAGGCAGGTTAGGGTAATTTGGGAAGTTATTGTATAATGATGGTTTGCTCTGTAGATTATGGATAAAAAATATAGCTTAAAGGGGCTAATAATTTTGTCTCTAAAATGGTGTTTAAAAAATTAAAAACTGCTTTTATTCTAGCCGAAATAAAACAAATAAGACTTTCTCCAGAAGAAAAAATATTATCAGACACACAGTGAAAATTTCCTTGTTCTGTTAAACATTTGGAAAATATTTAAAAAACATTAAAAAAATTAGAAGGGGGCTAATAATTCCGACATCAACTATATATATATATATATATATATATATATATATATATATATATATATATATATATATATATATATATATATATATATATATATATATATATATATATATATATATATATATATATATATATATATATATATATATATGGGGTAAATTACTGTCTGTGGGAAACACTCAATAATTACAGAGACATTTGTTATGTACACACATTCTTAATGACCTGACGCACGTCATAGATATCAAATATCACGCAATGTGTTTGGTATCCATAACACACAAAAATTTGATCTAGTCAAGATCACTTTATCTGATATAATGACTGCCATAACAACAATAAAAATGATGTATTCTGAACAGGGCCTTACTCTGCTTCATACTACCATAAATGTTTTGAATACTTAAGCTCAACTATAAACATTACATTCTTCAGGAGTCCCATAGAATGTAATGAAAATCGCAACTCCCATGATAACACACTTATTCTTAATGTCCAGACTATGGCTGCGTCTGAAATCGTCTACTACTCAGTAAGTACTGGACTTGAAATTGAATTACTACTTGACTGTTAGAAAAGTCCATTCTATACAGTATGGATGTCAGTAGTTTTGAATGAAACTCGGATGTACTACATCCGCCATTTTGACATCATCATGTGATCTACCCGCGACAGTTGCGTCACTTTATTCATGAAATTCATGAATTTTCTCGCAGTGGGATAGTGTAGCATTTATCAGATGTATACTTCAGAATCTAGTCGGAAGTAGTAGGTCATCCAACTACTTCTCACGTATTGTTTTTCTCGCATACAGTTTTTAGTTTACTATATAGCACTGTTTCTCAACTTGTGGGAACACTTTCAGTGGGTCGCGATGTGTGATCAAAAAAAACAACAACAAAAGTCAAATTTTTAACTCATTTTGCTTATATTGGACTTTTATTTTGAAATGCACATGCGACAACCATCCCGTTTGACGTATGGAATTTCATTTATTTATAGCAACAAATAAGTCAAAGCGCAAGTACGACCTCGAATATGTAAAGTATGGATTTACATATATTGATGACAAAAAAGGCTTAAAACCTCAGTGTCATATGTAGTGAGGTGCTCCTTCTAAATTGAAACGACATTTAGAAACCAAACATCCCAGTTGCAAGGACAAACCTGTGGACTATTTTCAAAGACGACTCCAAAAGCTGAGGGCATCACAAAAGTCCCTAACATCTTCATGTTCAAAACAAGTACAGGCACTCCATGCATCGTACTGTGTAGCTCACCGTTAAGCAAAGGCCAAGAAAGCCCACACGATAGCAGATGAGCAAATAATTAGTGATTATTATAAAAATGGTTATGAGTATTTTAATCATTTTACTTTAATTTGCTGGATTGTTCTGTTCAACAAGTTCATGTGTTAATGTTTTATTAACAGTTCAGTTTAGTTCCTGGTAAATTAACTTTTCCTTACCCTAACCACTGTATACAGTATTTGACGTTTTTACTCTGTAATATTATACTTTAATACACTTTGATTTATCGGTCACTACTTGTGTATGTTAACAAATAAATACAAATAAATTATAATTCATTATATATTATAGTTCCTAAATATTTGGGTCGAGGCATGATGACCATGTGTGAGAACCAATGCTATATAGTATAGAAGTATGCAGCTGCGTCCCAAATGGCACACTCTACACTATGCACTTATGCACTTACACACTCAACAGCACTAATGTTTGTTAATGTTGTTTTAAACCATTTCCCTGATGACGTTTGACGGTTGCCAAATCAATGAAATGAATGACCAAACTATCAAATAATACCTGCCGTGAGTATAACCACATTCACCGTCAGAAGGCGCAATAATCACTCTTGTAAGATAATTTTGCTTTCAAAATAAATAAAGTAGTCCAACATGTGCGCCCGATAGCTCCACCCCTTCCGCTACGTGAGCAAACCTACGTGCGTTGAGTGCGTGAAGTGTCCATAATTCCACACTTCATTTTACCGGCTGAATAAGTGCATCATCCGGGTATTTAAAGTGCACTTCATGTTTTTAGGGTTTTCAGTGTCAACGCACAACTTACACTATTTATGCTACAAAATGGTGAAGAATAGTGCATAAGTATGCAATTTGGGCACAGCTTATGTCTTTCTTTGTAGTGAATATGCTCCCTCTAGTGGTGATAATAACATAGTGCCTTTAATGTAAAAACAATACTTTCTCCACCCACTCTAACAATGCGCCGCAGATTACATGAATCACTTTTAAAATAGTAAATTAATATCTGGGTTATGTTCTCCAACAAAACATTGCTAATAGTTTTTTTATGGAAATGGTGATGTGGAAATTGGCCTAAATGCATGTTTAATGCTCCAACATATGCTCAATGTTACAGTCACTGTCCTTGCAAGCTGTGGTTTATATAAGTGTAGCTGCTGATTGGGTTAACATTTAGAGTACACCCACCAAACAAGAGAAAATGTATCTCAAACACCATTTACAGGACAAAAGTCGTTCAACAAGTTGCAACCAGTTTGAGCTTGAACGTGTCTCCGTTGTTTCAAAATATACAACCAACAAGTTTTTCTTCTTTGTTTTTAAATGAATAGATCACCAAAAAATGAAAATGTTGTTATCATCTACTCACACTTGACCAGTACCAAACCTGTTCGACTTTTTTCCTTCTGTTGAATGCTAAAGAAGATACTTAAGCAATGCTGGAAATCTGCAACCATTGACTTCCATATACTATGTTTTTCCTATTATGGAAGTCAGTGGTTACAGCTTTCTTCAAAATACCTTGCTTAGTGTTTGACAGAATCTAGAAACTTATAAAGACTTTGTAATACTTGAGGGTGTGTAAATAGTGAGGAAATTTTATTTTTTGTGTGAACTATCTCTTTAATCGAAGTGTGTCAATACCTTGTTACTCTTGTTCCTATGTTTGATTTGTCTAAAATTAAGGTTTGTAAGTTGTAATTAATTACAAAATTAGCATTATTTATCAGACGATTATTACAGAAAGGCATTTATAATGAATTTACAAATTGTATGTGGGCATAGGATGGAGCTCCTTTTGGTTGTATTGCTCTTATTTTTACAGTATAGTATATTTATATACAGTATATACGTTTTATAAATAGTTAAAGCGTGACTTGTTCTCCAGGTTCACGGTGGTGGCAGAGTGTCTCCAGCAGATCCGTCAGCAGCTGAAGAAAGTTCAGGAACTGGTCCAGAAATTCACCTACAGCAACGACCCGCTAAATCTAGGAAGGGGCCAGCTGGATGAACAGGCCATTTCACTCTTCAAAAGCCTCATATTAAAGTGAGACACCACAGCTCATCATGAAAATGACTTCATATGTAGAACACACGCTTTAGTAAAAGAGGAAACCAACAGAAATTTGATTATATATTATGGCGTGTGTCAGATTTCAGTGTTGAACAGGCCGACAGTGTTTTGATCTTTCTTTGCGTGTCTTTTAGTTCTCTTGTGGTGGAGAGGCAGCCCTGTATGCCAACACATCCTCAGAGACCCTTGGTAATAAAAACAGGAGTTCAGTTCACCGTCAAGATCAGGTGGGTTTCTTTCATTATTAATGTTGCTTTTACTCATTTTAATTGATGGTTCTGAAGAAGAGCTTTTAATTCCAGTGATGCTTATTCAAAGTCAATCTTTAGTCTGATGTGCTATTTTATATTACATTATTTCATAGGTCACTAGTCAAACTCCCTGAACTGAATTGTCAACTGAAAGTGAAAGTTTTTATTGACAAGTAAGCTATATCTATCTATCTATCTATCTATCTATCTATCTATCTATCTATCTATCTATCTATCTATCTATCTATCTATCTATCTATCTATCTATCTATCTATCTATCAATCTATCAATCTATCTATCTATCTATCTATCTATCTATCAATCTATCAATCTATCTATCTATCTATCTATCAATCTATCAATCTATCTATCTATCAATCTATCAATCTATCTATCTATCTATCTATCTATCTATCAATCTATCTATCTATCTATCTATCTATCTATCTATCTATCTATCTATCTATCTATCTATCTATCTATCTATCTATCTATCTATCTATCTATCTATCTATCTATCTATCTATCTATCTATCTATCTATCTATCTATCTATCTACCTACCTACCTACCTACCTACCTACAGATCTATCTATCTATCTATCCATCCATCCATCCATCCATCCATCCATCTATCCATCTATCTATCTATCTATCTATCTATCTATCTATCTATCTATCTATCTATCTATCTATCTATCTATCTATCTATCTATCTATCTATCTATCTATCTATCTATCTATCTATCTATCTATCTATCTATCTATCTATCTACCTACCTACCTACCTACCTACCTACCTACCTACCTACCTACAGATCTATCTATCTATCTATCCATCCATCCATCCATCCATCCATCCATCCATCCATCCATCCATCCATCCATCCATCCATCCATCCATCCATCCATCCATCCATCTATCTATCTAATGGTTTTTATTGTTTTCCTCCTGTAGAAATTTAACAGAGAGGGACACAATAAAAGGGTAAGTAACATATTACACAGAATTTCAGAGAACAAATATGGTTTATTAATACTATGAAATTATATTTTGACTGAGACAGAGCATTTAGATATATAGCAAGGAGTCCAATGTAATATCTTGTGGCCCAGACAACATCCACAAAAACCTCTGCAACCCACAATTGAACAAGACTGCTATATTACTTAACTATACACACCATTTATCAATGTGATAAGACAACCGCACAAATACAACTGATAAATTATTCAGATAGTTTTGTTTGAATACATGTTTAAATAGTTTATCATTTGTATAGCACAATTATAATTTATGTACAGCATGACACCAGCTGAAATTATAACATTGTCTTATATTCTAATGTTCTAGAGGTAGAAAATTCAACATATTAGGGACGAATACTAAAGTTATGAACTTAGAAGAATCCAGTGGATGTCTAGCAGCTGAATTTCGTCATTTGGTATGATGTTAAAAAAACTACAGAATAAGACACAGCTGATTCATACACACATGATCATGTCAAATCCAAAACTTAATTGTTCCTCTTTCTTTTTCACTGTTTACTACAGCAATTAAAAGAAATGAAAACTAGCAGAACCAATGAGGTAGGTTAAAAAAACATGCACTTTAAAAAATATCTGTAAATGAGCAGTTTTCTGTATATTGTGGGGCTGCACGGTATTGAAAAAAAATTGACATTGCAACATTTAGGTTTTCTGCGTATATATTGCAATATGATTAAAATGTTCACCAAATGGTTTAATAACGTTATTTTGGAAAGAAATCTTGAATTTAGACTGATTGTAGTGATTTTGTAAGGATGTGAATCATGGATGAAAATTAATAAACAAATTGCAAGCAAAAAATAAATGCAAAAGAGCAATGAAAAACATAGAACTTTATGGTTTTCCAGAGAGTCAAACAGTATTTAGGTACAGAAATTGAATAATAAAATGTAATATCAATTGTAAAATAGCACTGCATAAACTTCATTATATTAATCATTCAGTTAAAAGTTACTAATGTCAGTTTGCTTTAAACTCTTTTGAAGTGAAGTTTATTTATAAAATTATTTTAAGAGGATCACGTTCTTATGATTGCTAGCGGCTGGTCCCGCATTATTCAATTTATGATTCACCAATCAGACGATTACAAAAACCTTGTAATAATCTGCCAGTACATTTTCTTCTATTTTACAGACTTATTTCCCAGAATTATGTTACTTCTTATACATTATATTATTTCAAACAATGTTAATAAAAGTCGCTTTATTAAACTGCAGAGTTGAATTTTCAACATCAAAAGTCGACAGAGCAGACATCAACATCCCATAATGGAATTCACAACCGTAAAAAAATGGCAAACACTAGTGAATAACAAAATATAAAAAAAAACTGTTAATTAACAGCTTTTAACTGTGTGCAATGATGTCAAATTAAGTGATAAAAGCATTAACAAATGTTTTTTTATATATATTTCAGACGCCTCTCATCGTTACAGAGGAGATGCACCTACTTAGCTTTGAAACTCAACTTATTCAGCCAGAGCTGAGTGTTGATTTATCGGTAAAGTGCTTTGAAAAGTTTCTACTCCAGTGCAAACACTTGATCAGACCAGTAATTCTAACCAGACCTGTTTGCTTCAATTTAAACAGATCATATCACTTCCTATTGTGGTGATCTCACATGTCAACCAGTTACCCAGTGCCTGGGGCTCAATCTTATGGTACAACATGCTCAGCGGTGAACCACATGTACGGGCCCATTTACAGTACCATCATCAACATTTTCCTCCTCCGCTAACGTCTCTATTCTGACTCACGCTCTTGATCTCGCTCTCTGTCTCAGAATCTGACGTTCTTCTTGAATCCGCCACCGGTGAAATGGGTTCAGCTTTCAAAGGTCATAAGCTGGCAGTTTTCTTCAGTCAGCAAACGAGCGCTGACCTCAGATCAGCTGAGAACAATAGCCGACAAACTTCTAGGTGAGATGACTCAATGATTTATACACTCAATTCAAGTCATCTTTAATTCTGTAGCGCTTTTTACCATGTGGATTGTGTCAATGCAGCTTAATGAGAATCTGGTTTCTCTCAAGGTTTTTTCTTCACTAGCATACATGGTTTGGGATCGGTAGAGTAACGCATCGATGGATTTGCTCTTCAGTATTTGGGCCCTCAGTAGTGATTATTAAACCACACTGAACTGAACTGAACTTAAACACTAAATACTGAACTACACTGTTCCAATTTACTATGATGCTTTGACACAATCTACATTGTAAAAGCGCTATACAAATAAAGGTGAATTGAATTGAATTGAATTCATGTACAAGAAGATTAAAGAATAAACTCAGGCAGGCATGGGAGTGGTGTTGAATGCTGGTGTAGTTCTGGTTAAATTAAAATTGTTTTGTTTCAGTTTAGTTTAAAGGGGTGTTCCACTACAATATAATATTTTAAACTTTAGCATTTAGTTTTAATGTAGATGTGTGAACATGAACAACATCTCTGAATGTAATACGCTCAAAGTTCAATGCAAAGGGAGACATTGGCTTTTACAGAGTTAGCTTAGCAAGCCTACAGTGAACAAAGTTTGGGGACTACAAAAATTACATCCAGGTTAATGATGTCATAAACCCTTCAGGTTACACGCATACACCCCATGCAGCAAAGAGGCGTGGCCAGAGGCAATGTAATATTATAGCAGAGAAAGCTAAAATGCAGTCCAAACGGTGCTATTTCCACTAAAAATATATATGGTTAGCATTTGACAAAGGAGAGCTTCCAAAATCTCTTCCAGTTCAGTGCTGGATTCGGCTAAAAACTCCTTAAAGAGTCACGAAACACCAAAACACATTTTTTTGAGCTGTTGACAGTCGTATATGTGTCCCACACTGCTAAAAACACTATTAGGACACCTATATTTCACTAAAAAGTGTAAATATGTTGTTTTTGCGTTATTTCAAGCAAATTCGTACTTCCGGTTTGAAACGAATTTTTGAAGCTGCGTCACGGTCATGACATAATAGCGTGTATTCCAGCGTGCAGACTGGGCATCTGTGCCAGAGTGAGTCTTATTACGTCTTACAGTGTGATGCATTAATGCATGAGTAAGGCTTGGTTCAAACCAATCAGCGCGCTCTATTTTGCAACTTCATTAATATTCATTAGTGTCACTGTTTACACCAGAGACGCCACGTTGTGTTGGCAAAACAAGCGTGAAGTGTTGCTTTTATAGTTTGCTGCCATTAAGTTTCGTTTTCCTTTTCTCTCTGTGAGAGCTCAGACTCACGTGTGGATTAACAGTGTACGCGACGCTCGACAACAATAACTTACGTGTCTAAGGAGGATTATTGTTTACCTGAGAGCTGTTCTCATCTGCAAACGCTGAGATCCGGATATGCTTGTAGTCTCCTCTTCATAAAGACGCGGCTCTAGTTGCTGGTGATTGTCCTGTCTCTACAGATTTGGTAAGTGAGCGACCAGTGCTCTTTGTTTATTCAGTTTGTTCGTATCGAATTAAGTTAACTATTGCACTGAGTGCAAACTTGTTAGCACCGCATTTTGTGACCGGAATAACACACGCGGCTTTCTGCTACCTGCCGTGTGCATCTAAGTTTCCGGGAATTGCGGAGCTTTTTTTCTCTCATTCGCCGTGCGGTATCAAACATTGCATGAAAAATACACGCTTAGAGCAGATCCTCGAATCAAATATCGTGTTTGTCGCGAGGGGCATGAATGAATTCCCTGAATGAAAGAGCCAAACTGCAGTTAAAGTCCAACATTTAATAATCTGGCAAATAATTCAACTACAGATGTCCATGTAGGTTAAACACAATGACTGTAAAAAATACACCATCACTTTCTCATGTGTGTGTATTTTGACTGAAACTTGCGCATGCCCAAATAGACACTCCCACACCATCCCACTTTAGTTCCTCTGACACTCCCCCCTAAACAGAGCTGGACACGCCCACTTTTCTGACTTTTTCCAAAGTAGAGGTGTGAAAACACCCTGCTGAAACGAGGGGGTTTCATGGCCCTTTAAAGAAGGAACAGTGATGTGAATCCGATTCGTGAATCACAGCACAATATGTTAGCTGGCCAATCAGAACTAAGAAATTTGACATTTTCATTTAAGCTGAGTAGCAGTAAATAATTAAAGTAAAATAAATGAAAAAATATTGTGATTTAAAAAAAAAATGAAGCATAGGCACTCATTGCTTTGCACCACATAAACACAACTAAGCCCTTAAAATACACTCTGGACCACCCCTTTAGGTTTAGCTAATTCAGTTTATTCAGATCAGTGTAACTCCACCGGTGCGCAGCTCCATATCTTCATGCATTGCAGCTTTTATCAGTTTTATCTGTTTTCAGGTCACAAAGCCCAAGGTGACCCTGAGGGACTCATCCAGTGGAGTGCATTTTGTAAGGTGGGATTATATTGAAACAGAGACGAGAATGTTGCTTTCGCTTTCTTTGACCAACCACACTTTTGTTTGTGCCTCTGCTGTCACTGTCATCACATGATTTACTGATAAAACAAAACTTAGCGAGACTGCAGAGGGGCCCAAAGAACATCAGAAGACATCTGTGAATAAATGACTTCTAAACTAAACTAAACTAGTTTTTTTTTTAACTTTTTGCTTTAGTCAGTTTACACACACTTGTTCCATTGTTTAATGCCCTAAAAAGCATTTTGTCCACATGTTGACAGTAGATTACATGCACATTATCATCACTGGCTTGTTTGCAACATCATTTGCACTGGTTTATACACTGGGTGTGCCCCAAATTGCACACTTAAGCACTATCTACACCATTTACAAAAGTCTAAAAGTAGTGCATTTACACTTTTAAAAAGAAAAAAGTGCACTTTAAAAGATCGGGATGATGCACTTATTCAACTGATTTTAAAAAAAGTGTAATGTTGAAAAATCCATGCACTCATCCGCCCATTCAAGTAGCAGAAGTGGAGGAGCTGTCTACACTAAGGTTAATTACACCGCCTCCTGATCTCATCTAAAGTTAGGGCTGGGCGATTAATCGAAAAATAATCGAAATCAACATTCAGAGCCTATAATCAATCAAATTTTCCCATGCCGTTTGTGGAGTCATGTGACCCCACTCTGTTAAAGCTGATTTATACTTCTGCGTCGAGAGGGCAGTTCAGCGCAGCCTTTACGCGGTCACATACCCACGCACCTCTCAAAAATGTGACTACACATTGGGACGACACGTAGCACAATCTCTGTGATTGTTCAATTTAGTAGCGTTGACAAGTGTGGACAACTGTGAAGTAGCTCTGTGTGGAACCTTTTGTTTTGTGTTTACCTTATGATTAAAGTTGTTTCACATCCACCAGTTCTCGTCTCTAAATAAGCGAGTTTTAGCTACTTGTACACTAAGATAGAGTTCAGGAAAAACAAAACCCTCGTGAAGAAACTCAACACAGAGGAACATAAAAACCTGCTGCTAGCTAGCGTTTTGGAAGATGCTATTGCAGAGCAACATAAACAGCACGCTAAAGTAAATGCATGGCAACACACAAGGCAAGCAATGTGGGTCACAGCGATCACTTGACGCAGAAGTATAAATCAGCCTTAAAAATCTGAGGCTGATTTATACTTCTGCGGCCACTTTGCAGACACATGTGATCTCTGGTAAAGTAGGATGATGGTCACCTTTTATAATCTTACTTTGCACTAAATTGACAATGATTGTAAGCTGCGCCAGAGATGCATTAAGACAGCATATTTTCTATTACATAAAAATTATTATTTACATTAAAATATTTGCTTACAGAAGATGCAAGAAATGCACCATTTAAAATATTATTTAAAGGATATTCAGGAGTTATTTTTATTTAGAAGAGATACTGCTTTTTTCTACTTTTAACATGAAAAGCATTGAAAACTATTTATTTTGTTTCCAAAATTGCTAGTTATTTATTTTCACTTTTTAAAGAAAAAAGTGACTGTTCGTGTTAGGCAATGTGTGCTATAATTTCAGTTGTTCAATGTTGATGTTTATTAAATAATCATTAATAGCAGATAGTGTGTGTTTTCACCAATTATTATAAAATCAAGTAATGCCCCCTTCATTCAAAAATCTCTCATTTGTAATATGTGAGCATATTTACTGTACAAAACTTGTCACAAACTACGAAGGCAAAAAAATTTGCCATAACACTACACTACATTGTTGAGTGTGTAAGTCCATAAGCGCATATGCAGTAGTCAACATTTGAAGTGGATCAAAAAAAAGTGAAAATTTAATTGTAAGTCCCTTTGGATAAAAGCCTCCGCTAATTGACTAAATAAAAATGTACAATTATCATAAGACAAGAATGAGTGTTGTTCAATAGTTTTAGACAAAACCTTTTTTTCATTCACTTCAAATGTTGACGATAGTGTGTCATCTGAGACACAACTACTGTGTTGTCATAGTGCAAATGAACTGTGAAATGACAAATGACGACAAACTGTATAAATGAACCTTATTTTTGATATACAATTTATGCATTGCAATAAGATCTAAACTTCAAACTCCCATTGGCTTTTACAGAATTGTACTTTCATACTAATTTGCTTTGTTTTTTTAATCCAGCCCTTAATAATACTTTTATTACACTGAGAAAGCCTTTGACAGGGCAATGCCATAACCACTGGTTTTAGCTAATCAAAGTGTGTTTTTGCCTAGACGTCTCCTAATGAGAGAGGTATACCATTTTGGTTGTGGATAGATGGAATTCTGGACCTTATTAAAAGACACCTGCTCAACATCTGGAATGATGGGTAAGAGCGTCAACGTTACGAACACAGGAGGAAATACTGCACTAACAAGGGCTGGAGCAATCTGTCTGCTACTTTACACATTCGCTTAGATTATTAAACTGTTGGGGTTTATTCAATCCAAAATGTTTTTGTTTTTTTTTTGGTCACCATTTACTCGCCTTTATTCCATTTAAGTTTTCATCACGTGGAGAAAGAGCATACAGGGTGATTCAAAAAGAATACCACAACTTTGAAAATCGAGAAATCTGCAAAGAAGAAAAGGAGAGCTAAGCTTTTTCTTTTGTCGATTTAAGGAAGCTCTGAATTTTGAAAAAACTTTAAGTACTCTTCACATTGATAAATTACCCAAGGTTCCATCATGTTTCTTTTATCAAATACAAATTTTCAAAGTTGTGATATTCTTTTTGAATCACCCTTTATTTATAGGAATGTTAGAAAACTGAAATTACCTTACAAGCTACTGGTTTTCAACATTATAATATCACATTTTTCATATTAAATATCACAGTTTTAGACATTGTTTTGTTATTCATCAGAAATACCAAAGCGGCCACTTCCAAGTCACTTTCAAGTCACTGTACTGTTTCCTCTCCATTGAGTGTAGCTTCCAGATTATGACGAGTTTCTTTTAAAAGAAAAAGCTGACATGTACCTTAAGTTTCTTATAGTCAACAGGATGCCTGATGCAAACATCCTTTCAAAGCTTAGCAACCACACAGAACACCCTAGTAACCCCACAGAACATTCTACTAAGTGAATAGCAACACTGTAGCTACCATACACAATTCCATAGCAACCAGTTTGAATACTGTACCATACTGTCTGGCAACCACACAGAATACCTTAGCGAATGCCTAGCGAAAACACACAACACCCTTACAACCATGTTCCAACACTTTAGGTTCAACTCAGTAAATGCCTGGTATTGGAATTATGTCATTGCAGCCACACAAAATCTTCAGATTTTTAGCTTTTAAAAATGTGTTAAATGTAAAACTGCTTTAGTTTAAGCTCATAAATTTGCTTTTAACTTAAAACTATTACAAACCTTCACAGTTTTGGAATTTATAAACAATTTCAAACTGTCTGGCTACTCTCAAGCCACTTTTTTTCTAGTAAATTTGTATTATTTCACAAGAAATCTCCATTTTGCTTCATATCCACCCCCCCCCCCCTTCTATTTTTTTACAAAGCAATAAATTTCCTTTTTTTTCTTGCACATCCAATTAACATGAAAATATAAATATACTATTTCATGTCAACTTTAAAACCACATCCTTATCAGAATGGCATGAACATATGCCAACATCCTTGATTTTAAAGCTTCCAGTCTATAGTATTATACTGCAAGTGACACACATTAGAAATTTGACTTAGTTTGATATCAGTTTCATCTGATACCCAAACCCCTTTATTTATTGATTTCTTGCAATTCTCTTCCACACAGGTATATTGTAGGGTTTCTGAGTAGAAAGCAAGAGAAGGCTATGCTGAGAGACAAAGCTCCAGGCACTTTCCTTCTGCGCTTTAGTGAAAGCTGTCGAGACGGAGGAATCACCTTCACATGGGTGGAAGAATCACAAGATGGTACGTGCTGGATTAAATTTAGCTTTATTTTCAGCATTAAATCTAACTGCCTGGCAGTCTTGAATGAGTGTTACTGTGCAAAAAAAACCCCCAAAAACAGGTGAACCCAAGATCCATTCGGTGAAGCCCTACACTAAAGCAGATCTGGCAACCATCTCCATGCCAAACATTATCCGTGACTACACACTTGCTGCTCCAATGAAGGTTCCAGTGTATCCCCTCATCTACCTTTACCCGAACATCCCAAAAGATGAAGCTTTTGGTCGCTACTATACCAGTGAATCTGAAGGTAAATGCTCTTTACTTGATGGCTCATTCCATGAGCATGTTTGTATGCATTGCAATGTGCTAATAACTATGTTAATTAAAAAATCTGTTTACTCAAATGACCTGCTGTCATAGTTTACATGCAAACCAATAACCTGGAAATTCACCTTAATCGTGTTTGCAATATTTTTATTATAAAAAAGTTTATTTGGTCATAGTGACTTTAAAATACAATATATTTCTTATCTAACTTCAAGTATTAAATTAAATGTCAGTTGACATAATAAACCAGTTATTAAATGAACAGCTTGTGTGTTATCCTCTCAAGATGCAGCATTTTGACAGTAGCATGTTTGCAATTCTGTTTTACGATGAAAACACATTTACTGTATATTTCTTTGGGTCAAGAAAGCATCCAAGTTTGTTGCATATTTTCTTCTCCTTGCTGCAAAATGTTTGCACATTGTCTGAATGTGTTTAATTCTGCGCTTAAATTGTCATTTAAAAGCAAACTTTGACCATCAGTTCATGATTTAGCCATTAAAGACCTTAATCCAATAATTAAAAAATTAATAATTAAATCACACACGTAAAGTCACACTTCAAAATGTATGAATGTCATGGATATCATGTACTACTGCCTATATATAAATTGCCTTCCCTGAATGTAGGAAGGTAAACCCGCTGGATGACTCTGGTCTAAAAGGCTCTTCTGGGTCTGGCACCTTTATACCCAAGTTCCTTTCTTTATTGGTCAAAAAGCCAGTATGCCCTACGTTCAAGTGAATCTTATCATTTGACCGTTCCCCAGGTTCGAACTGAATAGGGAGGCGAGCCTTTAGTCATGCCGCACCCTCGTCCTGGAATACTCTTCAGTCTGAACTCAAAATGTCTGAGCTCATCCCATTCAAATAATTTCGCTCTGTCCTTTATTATAAACAACAACAGTTCATTTCTCAATGTAGGTGTTTTAACATTGTAATGTGATATAACTAAATAACTAAACTGTACTTTTTTATATTATCCTTACTTTTTTATCTATTATTATTTTTCATAAGTCGTGTGTTGCAGACCTCTTGCCCAGTTCACCCTTGTAAATGAGATCTTGATCTCAGTGGGTTTTTATCTGGATAAATAAAAAATAAAAATACAGTTAAAGCCAGAATTATTAGCCCTCCTGTTTATTTTTTACCCTTAATTTTTGTTTAACGGAGAGAAGATTTTTTTCAATACATTTCTAAGCATAATAGTTTTAATAACTCATATATAATAACTGATTTAGTTTATCTATCTATATTTTTTAAGACACTACTATACAGCTTATGTGACATTTAAAGGCGTAACTAGGCCAATTAGGTTAACTAGGCAGGTTAGGGTAATTAGGCAAGTTATTGTCTAATGATGGTTTGTTCTGTAGACTATTGAAAAAATATATAGCTTAAAGGGGATAATAATTGTGACCTTAAAATGTTTTTTTAAAACATTAAAAACTGCTTTTATTCTAGCCAAAATAAAACAAATACGACTTTCTCCAGAAGAAAAGCATTATCAGACATACTGTGAAAATTTCCTTGCTCTGTTAAACATCTTTTGGGAAATATTTAAAAAAGAAAAAATAATTACATTTTAAATAAAATAAAAAAAATCTCTAGGGAACCAATATTAGCGCAATACTCAACAACTATATTAACACATCAAACATTTTTCCAGTATTGTGCAGCTCTAGCTTTTACATTGGAAGATAATTTGTTGAAGCATATTACCACATTTCTTTTTGAAAAATAAAAAAATGAACAAGGGAGATAAACAAACTATTTGGATAATTTGTTGCAAAATGTTAGTGTAACTGCTGCAAAACTATTTGGGCCACTGTATGTTTCTGTTGTTAAAAGCAATAATATTTTCTTCTCCCACAGATTCAGAAGACATGGAGACAGACAAACCCATCAACTCAGATGCAAATCCATACTTAAGGAGACATCTGATGCATGTGTCTGATAAGTAAGCAATGCTTTTTCCTTAAAGGTGCCATAGAACGTCTACACAGAATGTATGTGATTTAGGTAAGCGCAAATATATGAAAAGGTTTTACAAGGCCATTATATGTGCCTAGAAATTGGCCGTATATAAAAGCTCAGTTTTTACCTTATATGAAAGGTGATGATTATTAATGATCTCCATTCTCATGCTGCTCTCAGCTTAGGCCTCTGATGCTCACGTAGCGTGATGTACTCTGAAATACAAATATGCAAAATATAATCATATTGGCAAAACAGATAATCATTTCAACTGAATTAGAGAAGAGGTTCACAGTAGGAGCGAGTGAGCTATCAGTTAAAAACTGTTCCAGAGTTGTGTCAGTGATTAAAAAAGGTTAAATTATAATTACACCAGACAAAATGGACAGACAGAGATGTATTTAGAGTTATATTTTGTGTGTATATATGAAAACACAGCCAGGAATTAATACAAACCTCTGCATAAACAGATACGTTTTTGAAGTTTATTGTTGTCCTTTCCCTTTAAAAAAATCAAAGTAAGAGCTGAGTGATATGACATGGTGCATACATGTGCATAAAACTCCTATCTTAAGAAGTCTACATGCGTTTGTTGCCTCATTACAAACACACACGGACAATATGTACAATAAACTAAAAAAAAAAATACCGTTAAACAGACCTTATGTCTCTCAGGGCACTGATTAAACTTATACCCAGTCAGAATTTTGCGTTCTGACGATTTGCAAACAGGTGAGATTGCGTTACTCCATGGCCATGCATAGCTGCCTGCTTCCTACAGTTTCTAGTCTAGATCAGATACACGGCCGGCCTGAAGTGCGATATGCACATCAATATAGCAGCATTTTTTATAACGCTGTATAACAATAATTCATATTTTACAGTACCGTGACCCGATACAAAAAAAATGTATTGGGTAATTTATTAAATAACAGAAATAATACTCTGTACAACTACTGTTTTTGCATTACTGTGATGGTTGGGTTTAGGGTTGGAGTAGACGTTTAAATACAATTAATGGGAAATTTAATTAATAACATAAATTTTTGTTAACTTCCGGCCTAAACCATATCTGATCTTGCAACAACCATAAATCAGCCTCTAAAGCCTGTCCAGTTAACAAAATAAGAGTCACACATACATCAGAAAGCTGTGTTAACCTTGAAAAAAAAATCAGGAATATTAATTAATAAATTAATTAATATATCAATTCCATGTGGAATGTCAAAGCTGGTGTTTTGTTCCAATTGGCTTGATTGTTTTACTGGAAATTTACACTCATGGGACCATGAGAATGAGTAAGTAATGGCATTTGAGGCTCATGGTATGTCATTAGCATTCACTGAACTCTTGTAATTCAGCTATGTCTAGCTAGATCTAGATTTTCATTCTATGGCACCTTTAACATTTTTCCTTTTGTGTGAACACATTACTGTTTCTGAAAAACCCTTTTATTTATTCTCATTTTCAGACCTGTTGCAAGACCCGTTGCAAGGTTTTAGGAGGATATCACTGTACCAAAGTCTACTCCACAGATGCATCTACAGAAGCCCACACTCATATTTTCTTTGGAAGAGGAAAATACAGTAATACCATTCATAGGAGTACAGAATTTACCAGAAAACTATAATGGACAACATAAATATCTTTGCACAGGTCTTCTCTGTACTAAATTAGTGATCTGCTACATTTATTTAAAATTGATCTGAAACAAAGAGACATTTCCTTCCTTTCCTATTGTTGTTGTTACACACACACACACACACACACACACACACACACACACACACACACACACACACACACACACACACACACACTTAAATGTGAATATAACTTTCATGTTGTTGCTAAGATTTTTATTAATAACATTTGGTGAGTTTGTGGATCTGTCAGCCACATATTGCCGGCACGGATATTTTCAAATACTATGAAAATCTTTTTTTGTGAAGACATTTTTTTGTGAAAAGGACATTTTTCTCCATCGAGTGAAGCACTTTATTTTTGCACATCACAAAATCTTTATATACCATTGCCTTAATTGCACATGTACAAACCAACATGCTTCAGTCTAACAGAAATGAACAACATCCTACCTGCTACAGTCAAAGAAACTGGACACTGAATCCAAGCAAGCAACATTTGTTTCTATTGCTATTTTCGCTCTCAAATATAATCTGATTGAGCAAACTGTATAGTACATTGTATTTGATGTGCCATCCAGAGGGAAACCCCCAAGCTCATAATATAGAGAGAAACCATAGAGCAGAGTTGGCTGGATATGCATCAGGGTATCAAGTTTGGATGATTACATAAACGAGTTCCACCTGTGCCAGATTGGCTGATTATATCATAATGCTCCTACCAAACCATGTTAAAAAATATCATTGAACATAAGACAGTGTTACATAATGTGATGTACTAATAAAGATTCCTGCCATTTTATACTTACACTTCTGTTTATTTTTGTATATATTAACAAAGATCTAAGGTGCACTGCCACACTTATTGTCCTCTGTCACTATCTTGTAAATGGACAATGTCAACCGTCTTTGGTCCGCTCAATGACAAGCTAATGGCCGCCGACGTGCTCTCTCTCAGAAATGATGAATATTTAAAAATAGGCATTTTTCTTATAAATAAACTGCATAGTTGCAATTTAAACAACTACATTCTCAACTAAAAAAAGCCTCGAAATTACATAATTTTGTTGCCCAACAGCAGCAATATTTGTCAAACTGTAGAGTGTCCTCTACTTGTTGCTGTGGGCGGAGTAATACACAACGATGAAGGGTGAAGAGGCGGCACCAGTGCTGTTATTGGCAGAATATTGCACGTCTATCAGCCGATCTGATTAAAGAACCAGACAGCACTGTTGTGTGTGTGTGTGTATATATATATATATATATATATATATATGTATAACAGGGCTTGAAATTAACACCCGCCAACCCCTACTAACCTCTTTGGCTGAAAATAGTTTTTAAATTGCCAGTGCTGCCTTGTCACTAAAGATTAGAATTTTATTTTAAGACCGTTTGTCAATATGCGCGTAAATGTGATCTTAGAATCGAGAAGCAGCACGACTGATAAGTAAAGCATAAAGCAGGTGAATACCGAATGAGAGGATGATCAGGTACACAGAGATCCTTGCTCACTGACTAGTGTCGTGCGCAGGGCTGATTTGATGTGCGCGAGTGCTTAAAAGTTCCTGTGTCCCGTTTCCTTGTGCGAAGCAACCATGACTGGAAACGCAACTGATGCGGTCGTTTCTCTTTGAAACAGTCTGGAAAAAGTGGTGCTTGTACAACCACAGTCCTGCTGCTTTCAAGAGCTTGAGATTTTTTGTAAGCAGCAGCAGTTGCCGTTTTAGCTTTAACCATTCCTTAAACAGATTATTAATATGCCTAACATTAACAGACTATTTTCCGTTATTTTTGTTTATGTGGTTTAATTATCACCCTTTACAATAACATTGCTTTGATAGGAGATTAACTTTCTATTTGTCTATAGTTAACTGGAGATGGGACCTTCAGCCTGGACAGACTACTGTGTATAGTTTTAGATACGTGGGAATAATTTAAACAGAGTAATCAATCAAAACTACATTCAGTATCTTGAAATTACCCTATGTTTATTTTCTCATTTGTAAGTTATGGGGACAGGCCTGCAAACATTTTTTCATTACAATTATTTCTGAAGTCCTTTTCAGCGGACAGAAGCAGTGTGGTAGCATTTTATTCTAAAAATACCATGACACAAACAATATACTTAAACTCTGAAACAACTTCCTGGTACAGCATTACAAAGCAAAACTAAGCAACCTACAGGTAACCAACGTCTCTTAAAGTGTATATTAATTATGTTGTATAGCACGCTGCACAATAAATTGAGAAATACTTCTCTTATTAGGAACAATTCGGTATATTGCCTTTATATATGATCAACAGCCTGAAGGAGAAGACATTTCATTGTCAAGTAAGTCATTTTTATCATTTACAGTAATAGTTCAATGCATGTCTGATCTTGTGTTTACGGTAAAACTGACTCAACACAGCATAATGGAACAACAAGTGCTGGATCGCAAAGTCGGCATGCTGGAAGAAAGTATGCAGGTAAAGCATGTTGTTAAAACTACGATGCCAATTTACTGTCAGCTTCATTTATTTTTTAAAAACATGAAGCAAACAACAGACTCTTCATTTCAAATGAACCATGTTTAAATATATGATCACAGCAGCTGCCCTTTCTTTTCTTCAGCAAACAGAACACGACATTCAGGTTTTAAAGGACATGCAATATGATTATGACAATAAAAGAAAGACAGTGGAGAGTCGAGGTAAAATGAAAAGATTAAGTAGTACTTCTGCTCTAAAAAAAAATAATGAATGCCAATGTATGGTGCAATCATGTACGGTTTACCCAAGTTCACAAGAATTTTGCACAATCTGTAAAATATTTTAAGTAAATATGAAGGTCTGTAAAAACAGCAATGTAAATGTAAAAAACAGCAGTAGCTGTTATTTGGTGGGTTGACGGGTGTTAATTTCAAGCACTGTTATATATATATATATATATATATATATATATATATATATATATATATATATATAAAAACAAATTTCTTTATTAAAACTTTCGAGACTGTACAACTTTTATTTTGACTTTTATAAAGAAATTGACTAATTGAAAGACTAATGTTTCTGTCTAATTCTTTATATTTTCTACAGAGTCTGAAACAAAATGTCAGACACCAAAAGAGATGAAACTTGAGGAAGCTGAACAAATGTTTACAGGAGGACTAAATATAAAAGGAGAGGTAAGACTGTTAATGCACTGTCTTGCACACGTGTCTTTATTACCTACAATTTTGTCTTCGTGAATATTATTAGAAATGTGGTTAAGATTAAGCCCATCCCAATTTTAGGGTAGCATTTACACAGCTTACTTCTGTGTTGAAAATAATGTATAATTTTACAGCAACTGGTTGTGCCTCGTGCTCTGGTCACTGAAACGAAAGCATTTTAGCGCTTGACTGGAAATGTGAATGAAGTAAAGACGTTAAACAATTACCTTCAAGTCCCGACAAATTCATTCAGGAAAACGTGATGTCAGGTGGGAATGTGATACGAGCATGCGCAATGCTATCCTACTCTATAAACAGGACACGGGCTCCATTAAAGCTACAACTAACTAACTAACTAACTAACTAACTAACTAACTAACTATATTTTTAAGAGTAAAAAAATCAAAGCTTTATTTGTAAGTCATTAAATTGGTGTATCTTAGGATATTTAATTTCTTACTTTGACATTGGTGTCATCTATATATACAAATTAGCCCACTGTTTTATCCACTGTTTATATTATATTATATTATATTATTATATTATATTATATTATATTATATTATATTATATTATATTATATTATATTATATTATATTATATTAGTTTCAAAAACCGCCTATTATGGGTAGGCTAGTATTCTCTCTTTATTCATAAATTAAAACAACATTATATTTGTCCTCCAGACAACACAACATCCTAATTTTGAAGGGTGATGATCACAAATAGTTTATCAGCAAAATATCTAGCTAGCAAATTAGCAAGGAATTACTAAACTGTTACTGTGAGCTTTGTTACATTTCCAATGATTTTCTTGAGAGTGGTGTGAGTAAAACACCCAGTATAATCAGGCAACTAAAACCATCTTCATCCAGCTTAAACCAGGCTGGTCAAGCTGGTTTTAGCTGATCATTTTTCAGCCTGACCAGTTAAGACCAGGCTGGAAATGGCTGGAAACCAGCCTGGAAATGGCCAAAACCCCTCTAAAACCAGGCTGGTGTACCAGCTAAAACCAGCTAACCAGCTTAGGCTGGTTTAAGCAGCACATGGTTAATATTTTCAGCATATGGTTAATCCTGTAATATCAATAGCCTACTGTCAATTAACAGATTTTGTTAGAAATGATAACAATATGATATATATTGTAAATTTAACTGTATTGGATTTTGGACAAATAAGCCCTTCGTTAAACATCACTCTAAAAAAAATAGATACTGATTATATTAAGTCAGTCAAATCTCATAAATTATCAAAGTTACCAAGAACAATTACCAGCAACTTGGCTTACTTCTGTTTTGATAAAATAAGATGTATCTTAAATTAAAGGCAATTATAATTAAAATTGTAATTAAAATGTATTTTTAAAAAAGTGTGTGTGTGTGTGTGTGTGTATGTATATATATATATATATATATATATATATATATATATATATATATATATATATATATATATATATATACTTTTTATAAATACAATTTAATCATAATTGCCTTTAATTTGATGTAATAATAAAAAAATAGCATATGCTTTTGTTTTTAACAACAATTCCACATCTGTCTATTATAAAAAGGGATAAGGAAAGTATAATTTGAAACACCAGGAATAATTGTTAACAGTGTGAAACATGAATCAAGATGATGCAGGCTTCAGTTTACCTGCATAAAATTGAGGTTAACTATTTCTAATGTGAAAAGCCTCTTTGTGTTTGCAGGTGGTAATGAAAGATATTGCTAATGCACTGACATTAGCAGAGCAGATTCAGATCACACTGATATCAGAGGAGTTACCCGAGTAGAAGAAGAGACAGCAGATGGCTTGTATTGGTGGTCCACATAACACTGGTCTGGATCAGCTTCAGAACTGGTGAGTGGATATTGCTTACATAGATCTGGCACACGATCATTTTAGTGTCTGTCCTGCCCAGGGAACTTCTCAATATCAAAGCATTATTGTCATTAAGGACGGTAACGCTTTCTTTTACAACCCGCAAAGTACCGCGTAAGTACAGTGAAATTACAGTGTACTTTTCTGTACGTACTGTGTAAGTATAATGAACGTATGTGTAGGTATGAGGGAACAAACCGTAATGCTTGGGTAAAAAGGGGGTAACAACCAATGTTCATCACGAAAATTACCGCGTAAGTACAGTGAAATAACGGTGTACTTTTCTGTACCTATAGTGCAAGTATAAATAACGTTTAAGTAAGTATAAGGGAACAAACTGTAATGCTCAGGTAATAAGGGGGTAACAACCAGATATTCAGCATGAAAGGTACCGCTTAAGTACAGTGAAATAACGGTGCACTTTTCTTTAAATTGCAAAAGAACAAACCATAATGTTTGCGTAAAAGGGGAGTAACAATAAGATATCCATCACGCAAAGAAATATATTAAGTTTACGATGTACATTTCTTCAAGTATTGTATACATATAAAGAATTATGCAAGGATGGTGACAACCTATTGCTATCTGCAAATGTACTGTATATGCACCTGCGTGAGTACATTAGTATTCTTATTCAGTGCTTGGGTTTTATATGGGGTGTTTAATGAATAAAAGGTTTACAACCTGTGAAATTATGAACCCTTATTGTATACTGTATGT